CCCCCCCACCAATCCCCCCCATCTGGCCCTCCCCAACCCCCCACCAATCCCCTGCCACATCTGCCCCTCCCCCAGCTCCCCACCAAATCTGCCCCTCCCCCCAGCCTCACCTCTGCTCCTCCGGCAGCTCCTGGGGTTCCCCCCCCAGGCCCGGGGGGTGCAGTGGGGTCCCCGCTCCCCTCCCGGCCGGGTGCTGCGGGGCGGGGCCGGGCTGGGCTGGATGCTCGCAGGGGCGATGACCGTGGAGAAAACAGCTTCTCTCCGCCCCATCAGCTGCCACGGAGCAGCCTCAGTAACAGCAGCTGATCCCCCCCCCCATCAGCTCCCTGCAATTCCCCGGGGGGGGGAGGGTTGTGCAGGGGCCAGAGCGTGTCCCGAGGGGGTAAAACAGTGGGCAGAGGGGGGCAGGGGGCAGGCTCCGGGGCGGGGGGCAGAAAGGGGGAGGCACTGGGGGGGATCCCCAGGAGGAGGAGGGGCAGAGGGGGTTCAAAATTTTGGGGTGAAGAGCCACCTGCTGTGGTCTCCAAAATAGAGCATGGGTGGGTGGCTTTGGGGTCCTGGCTTGGGTCCATCCCAGCAGCACCCCCCACCCACCGCCGCCGCAGCCCCCACACCTGCAAGGGTGGCCAGCCCTCCAGGACTGAACGATTCCTCTTTCGTGAAAGAGGATGTCGTGGGAGTCCACCTCCAACCAAAACTGGCAACCTTAACGCCGGCCCACAGCCGCTCTTCTCCGGCTGCAGCGAGAGACTGAGGTGCCAAGGGGCCCTGGAGTCAGGGAAATATTTTGCACGGACGCAAAAGCTGCCATAAAGCCAACTGGCACTTTTCACGTGTGTTTCTGATGCATCACAGAATTACTGCTCCGTTTCCGTAGGATTCCCTCGCCTGCACAGGGCCTCACTGCAGCTGTTCTACCTTTGCCTGTTCGGGGCTCCCTTCCCTGTCATCCACGGGAAATACAGTTTCTCCCCTTTTAATTTATTTTAAAAAATAGTATAATGTTTATGACCATGTGTTTGGTGCTGTACAAACAACAGGGCCATGCGATAGCTTCCCTCAGGCGATGGCAGGCCAAGGCCAGCTGGGATGTCTCTCTTCATTTATCCATCCCTCTGTAATGTTAATTTTTCTCTGCATCCTGCGTCTGTCCCATGGCTAGGAGTTAGAGCCAGTCCAAATCCTTAAAAGGTCTATCTCTGTAGAACAAAGTGTCTCTCTCTCCGTTTCATGGGTTATGGGGGTCTCACAACATACTTTTTGGTGGCCGCTCTGAGAATTTTTCCTAAAATACTTAATTAACTTTAGGAAAAACAAATAAATATGCACATATATACATGTCTATATCATTGTCATTTATTTGTGTAGGGTTTTTTTTTTTTTTTTTGCAGACTCAATAATAATAATAATGTACAGGTATCAGAGGGGTAGCCGTGTTAGTCTGGATCTGTAAAAAGCGACAGAGAGTCCTGTGGCACCTTATAGACTAACAGACGTATTGGAGCATTAGCTTTCGTGGGTGAATCCTCACTTCATCAGACGCATGATGCATAATGTACTCTATTCTTTACTGGACCTAAACAGAATAGAAACAAAAATAAGGTGCTTTGCATGTTTGATTATTATTATTTTTTTAGATTGCTAGTTAGTAAGTCTGCTCCTGTGAAAAGTGATATTTGTATATTTGTTTAATATCACTTTTCACAGCAGACTTACTCAGCCCTGGCGTGCTCGGGGACAAATGAAGCCCTGGATGGGGAGGTGGGTAAGGAAGCAGGGGGACCAGGGGGAGGCAGCAGGGATCGAGGTGTCAACACACACACACACACACACACCCAATCACAGCCCAGGAGGCTGTGGCCACAAGAAAAGCGCCTGGTAGCCACATGCGGCCGCATTTGAGAAACGCTGGATTAGATTCTGCTCCCAGAATCTGGAACAAGGAGGCGAACGTCAGTGGATTTACTTCACATTTCCACCATAGTAAACAAGACCCTTTCTGTCCAGTAAAAACACAGCCATCTACAGTCAATTGTCCTGGTTAATGGGAACCATCAAGATTCCAAACCAACATTAATGGCACACC